GTACGAAAGAGTGTGAGATAATGCTTTGTTGAAGGTGGTTCCAAAGTCAACCGAAGAAGTTAGTGATAAAGGCGTAAGCTAGTCTATATCATCAAATGCTTTCTCGCATGTTCCAGTGTTCGCAAGTATATCGGTTTATGATGCAGACAAGTGCCAGAGGAGTGCTGGACAATTTCAGTTTCTTTTAAATAGGTGGTAGCCATGGGATTGTTGTTAAAGACGGATGTGAGGATCGCACAAACTTGACCCTACTCACGTCAGGAATGTACGTATTACTCATGACTGCAAGAACCTTTTCAGCATGAGCCACAATTAGAAGTCGAAGCGTCGTATTCTGAGTTCAGGTTTCCTGGTTCGTATCTAAATCCGAAAGACGGTAACTCAGTCATCGCGCATGGCCTCATGGGATTACAGCTGACGAGGAAGCACTCCTAAAACTATTATCCAAAGATCCGGAGCGGTTCCAAAAATGGTTTGGCTGTAGCACACTTTCGGTGCCTAACTGCCATGCCACCAGAAGGAAGCACGAGGGCTGGGATACTACCAGGTTGCCCAAGCCAAAACAGGGGAAGTCGAGAGGCAGAGGTCGGGTTCGAAGAACGGATCCTCCGGTCAATAAATTTGCGTTCTAACCACTTAAGCGATCTCGCCTTCAGAGGAGGACATAGGGCGTAAGCAACTGCCTGCCATCCTTCATAACAACGAGGTCTGTTCTTCCCTCGAATTATCATTTAGGCCAGCGAGTGATAAAATTAACAATGTTTGCTTTGACTTGTATGCAATAATTATGTTATGTTTGGAACTGTATATGACACATGAGGCGATAATAATTGTAAAATAATCATTCAGCTGGGGCACTCTTCCGGTGCCTAACTGCCATGCCACCAGAAGGAAGCACGAGGGCTGGGATACTACCAGGTTGCCCAAGCCAAAACGGGGGAAGTCGAGTGGCAGAAGCAATGATAATATTTATTTTACTCTCCTCAGGCTCCACATAAGAAAACGTTGCTAACTATATGGGGTAATGGACGGCCAACGGTTCAATAAGACGACGTGAGTATAACTCAGAAACTGTGCGAATTTTGATGAGGCCTCACAAACTGACATTAGTTTGGAATCTTGGGTGAGCAGCAACATAAGAACCGAGTCCCTCTCATCTAGCACATGACCATTTGGAGTGGCGGTTTAGTGACTGAACACGTCGAGTCACAATATCGAACCTTTTAAAATCAGCTTAGCAACCTATGTAAAGACGTAGGATGTGTGCACAATGGTGCCCAGATCAAATTACCAGATAATCGTTCGATGACAGCATGAGCGTAAATCACCAGATTCATCCCGATTGCTGTACTACTGATTCCAGTGTAAGCAGGACACTAAGCGGGAGAAAACATTCGACCGAGACTTAAGTGATGCAGCTAGTGGTTATGGTGGTGGATCCTTTGGGCTCCAGATAGCTCACTGGTTAAGGCGCCAGCTTAGGAACCAGAAGGTCCGTGATTCGGACCCAACCTCAGCAGATCGACTGTTCCTGTTTGGACTTAAGCAACAGGGCACCGTCCAAACCACCGTGTCTCTTTTCGTCTGAAAGACGGCTGTGCACTGGGGAGGGGGCGAGTTAGCTCAGTGGTTAGAGAGCAAATTTACTGACCGGAAGGTCCGTGGTTTGAACCTGACCTCTGCCTCTCGACTCCCCCTGTCTAGGATTGGGCAACCTGACAGTATCCCAGTCCTCGTGCCTCCTTCGTGTGGCATGGCAGCTAGGCAGCGAAATGATACAGCTGAAGGGTTTTTAGGCATAGCAAACACGGTCGGAATCGTTCCGGTAGGCCACAAGAAGCACCTTTGTCCAACTGACCACACAGATACGACAACTCCAGCGGTTGTGCTGAGTTTCGGACACTAAATAATTGACAATAAAAATAAAAATATTTTCAACGAGCGATTCAGTTGATTCTCCTGTGAAAACCAAAAACTTCGCAAATAATAGGACAGTAAACTAGGCGATCTTGTTTACGCTGGTGAGTGTTTCCGACTTGTTCGTAATGACTAAATCCAACCTCTTCTCCTTAGAGAGAATATCCTACAACGGAGGATGATTTTGCAAGGTCCCGTTGGCGTTATTTTTATAGGAGGAATCGTTGTACCAAGAAAATTTGCCACGCACAAGGGTACGATGAATTTGGCCATTACAATCAGTCGTCACCGAATGGAGAGAAGTCGAAAGAGCGTTCGTTCGGCTCATCAACCGGTTTATCGGAACTTGAACAAAAGATCAGGTGAATAAATCTATCTACCACGTCGATTGATTGGGTTTGATCCAACACAAGTTTGTGATAACACTTTACAACTCACAGCAGGTTTGTGCGGCAGAATCGCTTACAATTTTTGCACAAATGCAACCGAAGGGTCGAGCATATACAAGTGAACGCTAAACATAAAATGTGAACACATGTGGACACCCCACAAAAACTAATATATATGCACTGGACTCAGAAGTCCGTGCAGAAATACAGAAGTGGGAAGCAAACACAGCGGTATTTTCACGTGGAAAGTAATAAGCTCAGCTAACAACTGTTCAGTCTTTGGTTTGTGCACTACAAGCAGTATGTCAAAATGGAACATCGCACAGTGACTCTGACTAGACGAGACCCATTTTCCGATGTCTTTGGAAATAGGATGAAGTATTGCACGTGATGAGTAAGATGTCAATTAGTGATTTCGTTTCGTCAGCGAAACCGATCCATGCTCAAAAGCAGGATGTCTGGAAATACATCAACAACAATGAACCAAGACACGTTCCTGCACTGCGTACCTCGCAGGTCAGGGTCGCCCACGAAAACACTAAAGCCCTATGCGATTCGTCAGATAAACCCCCTGATGTAGTACCGTCGTGCTACACTGTGCCAGGTCCCTGATAGTGGGCTCTTTCACCTAGCCTACATCCTCCTTCGTTCCCTTGAACGTAAACTATGACAAATCCTTCACCGGACCCCCCATGAAGCCGGTTTGCTGTCACACAAGAGACAGCTAAAAGGAGTGAAGTCAAACAGTGAAGAAGGGCGAATAGGACCGTATGAGTGACCATGTTCAATAAACCAATAAACCAACAAAAAGACTACACTGCCAGAATCGAGGGGGATACCACCCGTCAGCAATAAATAGTCACCGAAACAAAACATGTATATATCTTGTCGTGTGACTTGAAGATATAGATAGGTAGTGCCCTACATAACAAAGAAGAACCAGCCTCACCGCATCGACTTACATTGCCAGAAGAACTTTCCCCAGGATAACGCCATCAGCTATATCATTCACAGACTCCACGGAAGAAGCGGCGTCAAAGGTTCTTAGCTGCCAGAATTGTCGGGGCTAGATAGACGGGGAACAGAAATACAGACATACCCATCGCAGTAAATTCTGTACCGCATGACCACCGGACATGGAGAGTTGAAGTCAATGGTATAGAGAGCTTGGCAAAAGAAGTCACTGAAAGAGAAAGTGAATGGGCCAAAATCAGGTTGAACAAAGAGCTGAAATAAGGCAAACCGGTTTTGCATTTTCAACCATCTACCGAACGAAAGGAGTTTTACACAATAACTTCCACATCAACCAAGTCCAACAGTAGTAGCCTACTCACTTCAGTTAATTTTGGCGAAGTATGTAGACGACCAGAGACAATGCAATTGCTGTTTTCAGTCTTGAATCGCTGCTGATTGTCAGAGAAAGCTTTCCACTGGCGTCCACGAATGTTCTATGGAGAAATCCGACATGAACTTGTCACCTTGTCGTAGTGGTCGGACTTCAGTGCAATGATCTTACTGGCTGGAACTCAGTTTCCCAAGGTTTAATCATATCAGGAAGGGCAACGGTGAACAGCCCGACGAAAAACAGCGAGTAGACGTACTGTGAGAAATTGTATTACGAGGTCTGGAGGTAACGTCGTACTGTCCTCTACGACAGGAGTGTGGAGGCAGGTTCAGACTTTCGATTAGAGGACAGGATTCCCAAACAAAACCCTACATTCTCCCACTACCTTGTGAGCCAGACTATTGATTCAAAGGTAACGTCTGTCCTCTACGACAGGAGTGTGGAGGCAGGTTCAGACTTTCGATTAGAGGACAGGATTCCCAAACAAAACCCTACATTCTCCCACTACCTTGTGAGCCAGACTATTGATTCAAAGGCTCGACATGCGGTACCTCAAACAATACCCCGTTTTCGGACGGGGTAGCCGAGGTGTACCGATCGCCCTTGCAGCTCTCCACCCACTAGACGTCAAGCAAAGCCTTTTCCCATCCACCAAATAATGCAAAGCGACCAACCCATCTTCCAGTCCTCTAGCCCCTGTTCCGTGTTTAAACCACCACCCAGAAAGATAAACCAAAATACTCACTCACTAACTCAAAAGAACTGATCAACGTTGCAGCCTTCAATGCTCGTACTCCATAACAGATTAGGCATCCACTGCTGAAAGTTTGCTTTACGTCTCTGTCGATATATGTTGCTCCGACCTGAAGCTGCCACCTTGACGTGGCGGTCGAGCTTCAATGCTACGAGGCGGTCTGGGGGTAAAGTCGTACTGTCCTCCGCGACAGAAGTGTGAAGGCAGTAAGGTGTTTCCCCCAGGCGACCGACATGTCCATATTCATGGAAGCAGCGATGCTGCCTTCCCCCGAGGAACGACGGGTTAGAAAAGGTCGGCCCCGAAAACCGCACACTGCGATCGCCCAACGGTTGACCGTGACGGCCGGCGTATTATCCAATACGGTCGAAATACTTTTAAAACCAAAGAGCCCGGTGCTGTTCAAAAGGCATCTGCTGTGCACAGCCGCATCAAGAATGAGACAGTAATGCTTTATTCCCTGCGCCCTCGGGTTGGGCCAACCCCCCTGCAGCCGAGCAGGTCAGACTTTCGAGTCGTCGGCTCCGGGAAGGGTCCCCAAAGAAAACCCTACATCCTCTCACTGCCTTATGGGTGAGACTTTTGAGTCAAAGGCTCAAGGTGGGGTACCTCAACCAAACCCCCTTCCTCGGCCTGGGCAACCGGGAAGTATCATTTGCCCGCGCAGTTCCGCATCCACCGATATCCCTCCCCAACCCCTACCCACCGCACAAGCAAACGTCACTGGGCCATTTGACTGTCAGTCATCTGACCGAAGGGCCTTAGGCTCATTGCTGCCCATAAACATTAAGCAAAATAGCACCTTTCTAAACCCACGAGATCCTTTCTATATAGGACCTTTTAACGTCCACACTCTGTCAAATTGGCAAACAGGCAATGCTCACTGAAACCTTGTACTCCCTTAAAATTGATGTATGCTGTGTCTCCGATGCACGCATACAAGACCCGAGCGTGGTTATGCATCTCAGAACGCCAAGGATGAACTCAGCTCATTCACATCTCTCCCTCCGTGTGTCCGGTGACCCAGAAGCGATGACTCGTGGAATATATGGCGTGGGAGTCGCGCTCAGCCCCAGAGCTGAACGCGCCTTGCTGGATTGGATCCGGTTATCCAGTCCACTCAAGCTCAATGCCTCTCGGTATAAAAAGCGGTGCCTGTTTGTCGTGTCGGCTTACGCCCCAACGGACTGCAGTTATGGTTCGGAGAAGGATACTTTCTATCGAGAGCTATCCGGACTCATTCGTCAGGAAAAGAGCACTGACATTGTGATCCTTGCAGGCGATTCGGATGATCAAGTAGGTCGTCTGAGCTCCTCGGAATTAAATTCGGGTGGTCGATTCGGAGTCGATGCTCGCTGCACAGACAACGGAGATCGACTCCTTCAGTTGTGTGCTGATCACGAACTGTTTCTGGCAAGTACGAACTTTCAACATAAACGTTCGCACC